TAATATTTTTATTTTTTAGTTCTCGGCGGACACAACATCTTTGTTGGTATGTGGTGCTGCGGATCGAACCCGGGCCACACGCACGCCAGGCGAGTGCGCTACCGCTTGAGCCACATCCCCAGACCTCACTTGCTCCTCTTGCCCCATCAGTTTTTAGAGCAATGATGTCTACAGTTGGCAGTTCCAGAAGTTCTTTGCTGAATGTGTCCTCTTTCTGGATAGGGTTTCCCTTCAGCAAGCCTCTCTGGGCCCCCCAAGTGCAGGGAAAGGGCGAGGCTGCCAGCTCCAGCCGGAAGACGGGAGCTGAGAAGGAAGAGAAGAGAGGCCCTGGTTCAGGTGAGGGACTTGGTCTGTGCCTTGGTCTGGGGAAGGACCGTTTGCCCAGTCATTCCGGGTACTCCTTGTTGATATGGACTTTCTGTCTTTTGTGGGTGCAGGGCCACTAGATGGCTCCTCCCTAAAGGGTGGTTCTTGGCTCCAGATTTCCCCTACTTCCTTTTCCCCTTTCCTATCTCCCAGAATCCATCCCCTGAATTTCCTGTGGGTTCCCCACCCTCTGGGGCCCTTCCAGGAGCTTGTCTCTCTGGAAACCCTCTCTCTTTCTCCAGGAACCTTGGAGGTGGGGAAGGAGGTGCCAGCTGCACCCATGGGAGCCCTAGGGGATGTGAAGCCCTTGCCAACCAAAACCCGGTGGGCCCCAGGGGGTGTCCTGCAGTGTGGGCAGCAGGGAGCCAGTGGTCAGAACGCTCTGTCGGCCAGAGATGCAGAACAGCTGGCTCCTCTGGAAGCAAGAGAGTCAAATCCAGCCCCTCCTGTGAAAGCACTGGAGGGCCATGACCCAGAAAAACCCAACAAGGACGAGAAGGGTGCCACAGACAGCGGTGAGGAGGGCCTGGCCCCTGATGGTGATCTAGGCAAGAAGACCTACAAGTGCGAGCAGTGTGGCAAGAGCTTCAGCTGGCATTCGCACCTGGTGACACACCGGCGCACGCACACGGGTGAGAAGCCCTATGCCTGTACAGACTGTGGCAAGCGCTTCGGCCGCAGCTCGCATCTCATCCAGCACCAGATCATCCACACCGGTGAGAAGCCCTACACCTGCCCCTCGTGCTGGAAGAGCTTCAGCCACCACTCGACACTGATCCAACACCAGCGCATCCACACTGGTGAGAAGCCCTACGTGTGTGACCGCTGTGCCAAGCGCTTCACGCGCCGCTCGGACCTGGTCACACATCAGGGCACCCACACTGGTGCCAAGCCGCACAAGTGCCCCATCTGCGGCAAGTGCTTCACACAGAGCTCAGCCCTGGTCACCCACCAGCGTACCCACACTGGCGTCAAGCCCTACCCTTGCCCAGAGTGTGGCAAGTGCTTTAGCCAGCGCTCCAACCTCATCGCACACAACCGCACGCATACTGGCGAGAAGCCCTACCACTGCCTCGACTGCGGCAAGAGCTTCAGCCACAGCTCTCACCTCACTGCCCACCAGCGCACCCACCGCGGTGTGCGGCCCTACTCCTGCCCACTCTGTGGCAAGAGCTTCAGCCGGCGCTCCAATCTCCACCGGCATGAGAAGATCCACACCACTGGGCCCAAGGCCCTGGCTATGCTGATGCTGGGAGCGGCAGCTGCTGGGGCTCTGGCTGCACCCCCACCTGCTCCCACCTAGGGTGGGGGCAGGCATCGCACCCAGGGCAGCTGGGACAGCCCCATTGAATTTGGGCCCTGTGTAGGAGCAACAGCCTTTGCTCCTGGCCTTGGTGGAGGTGGTGGCAGCCAAGGGTTGAGGGAAGGGAGCCTGGGAGGTACAGGCGCAGGGTGGGGCATGGCAACGTGGGAGGAGCTTGGGTGAGAAGGCACAGGCACTTAGGGCAAATTAAAGACCTTGGAATTCAAGCTGTGGACTACTGCTCTGTCTTGTGGGCACTGCTGAACCCCGGGGAGTGGGGGGGCTCCTGGGTCAATCATGTGTCCTCATTCATCCCTGACTCACCTGCTCTTGTTTTGCACACCCTTATCTTCTTCAGCCTTGACTACATTTGAGGTCCCTTTGGCCAGAGCCCATTTTAGAACGTTGGAATAAATCTATTTTTATAGATTTTATAGATTTATTTTTATAGATTTATAGAGGCTTCTGAATGCAGACAAGTTTCCAAGTCTGAAGCCAGCCACTCCTGTAAATGGACCCCTGGTGGGGATGTCTGCTGCTGCTATAATATCCCAAGAAAGTTCACTGCCCACTAATCTCTGGACTCTTCTTTGGTTCCTCTCTTTGGGAAGTGGGAGTTGGACATAGCCAGTCTGAAAAACTTCTGCTCAGTATTTCCTGCTGTCTCCATCTACTTTCAGGCACTGTGGCTGTTTTGTGATTGGCCCTTTTCTTCCGTTTCCATTGGGGCCACTTACCAGGTACCACTTTGCTTCCTGTTCCATTATGCATGTACTGTCACCTCTTCTCTGTTGCTTCTTACCTAGTTGACCTTTGTAAGTTCTTTGTAATTTGTCCTTCCTACCTGCCCCTGCCTGACTCTACTTTAGTCCTAGTCTTTCTGTTTTAACCTCTGTGGCTTCCATTTCCCACTGTCTTTTTCCTCGAAGGAGTAGATTCTGCCTATTATGCTATACTTGTGGCTCAGCTGCTAAAGTAACATTCAACTCATACCAGCTGACTATGAGAATGTCTGCATCAGGGAGGCCACAGAGACTCTACTTCTTCATAAATCCACCAGGATACCTGCAGCCCTGGTTGGCTCCAGCTCCTAAGGATTGTAATGGCTTGAACAGAATGATGGAATAGTAACAATAGCTGCCAGTTGTTAACTGTTCTAGGCATGAAGCCAAGCCCCCATATGTATCACCTTTACTCTCTGCAGTTGAATGGATTTTATTATCTGAGTTTTATAAATGAGGAAACAGGATAAGAGAAAAGTCCAGTCACTTGCCCAGAATCATGCAACCAGAGAGCTGGAAATTGGTGTCATATTTGCATCGGATGTCTCATGTTTTTTTTTATATATATTTTTTATTGGACACAATACCTTTAATTATTTTTATGTGGTGCTGAGGATTGAACCCAGGGCCTTATATGTGCTAGGCAAGTGCTCTACCACTGAGCCACAACCCCAGCCCGTTTCATGTATTTTTAAAATTCATTCTGCAGTAGGGTCTTGTGCATGCTAGGCAAGCACTCTGCCACTAAGATACATCCACAGCCCTTTTTTAAGACACCTGTGCCAAGCTGGTCTTACTGGATTGCCTAGGCTGGCCTTGAGCTTGTGATCCTCCTGTTTCTGTCTCTGGAGTAGTTTGGATTATAGGCATGGACCACTACTCCCAGTTTGGTGTTTTATCCTGTAAGAAATATCCTTATTTCCATGTGCCTCTGTTTACTGTCTAGTAATATTATATTACAAGGCAGGACTGTCTAAAAAAAAGCAGAACAGTCAATGGTCTTGACCACCAGGGACATTGGATTCATTTGAACACGGGGGTGGTCTGGGGCATACAGTCAGCTGGACACAGATGAGCTGTTGACTGGTGGAGCCAGGCAAGCTTTGGTGGAGTCTTGCTGAAAGCAAGCAGATTGCTTTCTTCAGCTTATCCTCATAGTTCTAGTCAGCCAGAAATGGGATTCCTCTGCTTGACTTAGTGTGAGAGGCTGAGGGGGGCTGTCACTTGTAAAGCACTTGCTGTCAGGGAGGTTTTTTTGGTAGTGGGGATTGAACTCAGGGGTACTCAACCACTGAGCCACATCCCTAGGCCTATTTTGTATTTTATTTAGAGACAGGGTCTCACTGAGTGAGTCTGGCTTTGAACTCAACGATTCTCCTGTCTCAACCTCCCAAACAGCTGGGACTAGGGCATGCATCACCGCACCTGGCTTGTCAGGGAGCTTTTTTAGTGAAGGGGAGATAGGTGAAAAGGAGGCTTGTTAAAATGACACTGGAAGCGTTCGTACTTGTCACAGTGCTTAGCACAGAGGTCCCATTTGCACAGTGAGTATTCCCTTACTTTGATTTCAGTTCCTCAGACTGTGTGGCTGACCCATTGGAGACCAGGTGTCAGGACTTGAGCCAGCCGCAGAGTTGTGGAATGATTCAGGCAGTCATTTATAATCTTCACTCTGGCTTCTGGATAGCTCAGATCACAATATACAGGAGAATCGTTTCCCCTCTTWCGGTAGAGTGCAGAGAGGGATGTGATTCCAAGGGCCCCATGGATAGTAACCTGCACATCACCTCTGCCGAGGCTATGTCCACTTCTGCCCATCCGCCTAGAAGCCACCATTCTGGGACGGGTCTGGCAAAAGTATGTTAACAGTGGAAGGTGGCACTTTGGAAAATATTTTATAAGAGCAAATAAGACTGAGGAAGCAGTTGGAGTTGGTTTGTGGAAGGGCCTCTAGTATCAGATACAAGCGTACTCATAATTGGATGGGTGATGGGTGGGAGACTAGGGGAAGAAAGCCAGAGAACCATCTTGGTGTCTGGGTAGAGGGTGAGGCGGCTGAGAGGCCTGGCCTATGCTCACATCCTACATTTCAGCTGCTCCGCCACTATAGAACTCAACCTGAATGGTTTACTGTTGACCTGCGCCGCCAAGACAAGTTGGAGAGCGAAGGGAGCAGGGGGTTTCCGTCTGAGCTTCCCATTCTTTCCCTGCGGCCTGTATTCAGGGCCCAGCTGGCTTCCCCRTCTTGCCCGGCTGGCCCTGTCTTCGGCCTCTGCTCATCTCTAGCCGGGGACCGTTCCTCGGAGCTGAGGAGCTTCCTCCTGGATCTCCCCCTACAGCCGGACCTCTAGAACCGCAGGCCCCGCCCCTGATGCCCTCAACCAATCAAATGTCGGGGCGAGGGCGTCTCCAGCAGAACTGGCCAATCGCGGCTAACGTTTGTGCCCACTGCGGCGTTTCCTCGGGCAAAGGTTTGAGGTTCTACCTTTGAAGCGCTCGGGTTTCATGCGTTGGATGTCAGAGGACCTAGCGGCCCGGGTGCTGGGCTTCCCCGTGGACCCCTGAGTCTTTACAGCCCTCCTACTGCCGACTTCCGGAGTCCTGCGCTGCGAAGTCTAGGTGCCGGGCTGGGCCCGGACCACTTCCGACTTCCCTGGGCCACTTCCGGTCCACACGACAGCCTGCAAGTATTCTGCTTCGAGGGAGTCCTTGGCATCTACACCGAACTCGTGAGACCCGTGTCTCCCGCTCGCGGTTCTGCATCTTCCCAGCTCCCAAGCAGTGGCCCAGGGTATTGCCGCGGGAGAGGCAGGCGTGGGTGCGGCCAGGAAGGATATGTAGGCATCTTCAGGGAAGCTGCTGAGGCGCGCGGTGCTCTTGATGGACGTGGCTCTTGATGCTGTGATAGGTTAGGGCTGCAAGAAACGTGAACAAGAGGGGCTTTGCTGCCTTATCTCCTCCAGATTTATTTGGTACCGGAGATTGAACTCAACTCCACCACTGAGCCACATCCCAGCCCTATTTTGTATTTTATTTATAGAGTTGCTTAGCACCTCGCCATTGCAGAGGCTGGCTTTGAACTCACGATCCTCTTGTCTCGGGCTCCGGAGCCACTGGGATTACAGGTGTGCGTCACCACGCCCGGTTTATCTCAATTATTTTCAAATATGAAATGAACGGTTGCATTTCAAGCCTTTTGCTAAAAGTTGAGGACGAAAAATCCAGGCAAGATCTTTGCCTTTGTCAGCGGAGGAAATTGACAACTAGAAATGATACATTAGTTACTAGTAGTGGCGAATGCCAGAAAGAAAGGAACTAGGCGAAGCAGTAGAAGATGGTAGGAACTAACCCTTTTAGGGAAGGAGACATTTAAACTGAATCATGAAGGCTGAGAAAAAGCTGTTTTGTAAGATTTTGGAGGAAGAACGTTTCAAGCAAATGGAATGGGTGTTCCAGGAGCTGAAATGACATTCCTGTCTCCTGAGACCACTTTGTACTAATTATCAGACAGGTCCAAACAGAAGAGAGAAAACAGTGATTTGAACAGGTGTGCGTCACCACACAATTTGAACAGGGAAATTTTTATGTATGGAATTATTAGCTGTGAAAGATTGCATTCAGAAAGGGTTGACTAGTGAGAAGACCTCTATTTAAGTCATAGGGTCACAGCAGATAGCAGCAACAGCCACAACCTAGGTTGAGTTGGAGCACTCATAGAAGAGGATGAGACCCAAACAGTGGAGTAGGCATGTCTGAGGCTTACTGAGTTTCAGGGAAATGGCTGTTGTATCCACAGGTGAAACTTGATAGAAATCCATCTTGAAGGATGATCACAGAGCAATGTCTCATCAGACACCTGTTGTCTCTGCTACAAATTCATACTGTGGGAGTTCCTGCTACAGACACCTCCCAGGCTGCAGGAGCTTGGGCTGGGGAGCCCCTGGGTATTGCAGAAGTCTTCCTAGTGAACACCAGAATCTGGAAGAGAAACCCCATCCTCTTACAGTGTTTCTCTAGTGCCCTTTACTGACAAAGCCTAACATCATGCCAGTTGGCAAAGGAAAATGAGGCGGGGTTCACTTTATTTAGCAGGCAACTGAAGGAAAAATTTGGAGCTGGGACATATCGATAACTGGAACAGGTTTATATTATCATTCTATAGCATCCTGATAAGCCCTCTATATAACATCCCTTTACCAGCCACTGGCACTAAGCTCCATTATGTCTTGGGTTATATGGCTGACAGAGCAGATCAACCAATACAAAACTGGAACATTTTTTTTTAATATTTATTTTTTAGTTATCGGTGGACACAACATCTTTGTATGTGGTGCTGAGGATCGAACCTGGGCCGCACGCGTGCCAGGCATGCGCGCTACCACTTGAGCTACATCCCCCCTGGAACATATTTACATTATTTAGAAATGGGTCACTCAGTAGTGCCC